CTCCTTGATCTTCTAAGTCTTCGGGGCCGACCGAATACTGTCTCCGATGGGTGGGGAGGGTACCTGCAAAGGCACTCCGACGATCAAGTAAGTATTCGATATAGAGCAAATAGTGCTTTTATATGGAATAAATCATACCTCATTTATGTCCCATCACCTGTGTATTTATAGTGACATACTTGGGCCTGGTGGGCCTTATGTCTTGGGAGATGGGTAATGTCTTAATTAGTCTTATCCTTCTTAATTAGACGTGGTAATCATTGTATAATAGATATCTTAATCTGCCATGTGTCCTCCATGAGTTGACCTTCTCTTGAGTCTTCGGTTAAGCTATTGGCCGAAGGGGTATTTGGCCAAGGTTGAGGCCGAAGGGGTATTCGGCCAACCTTGAGACTTGAGTCTTCGACCAAGCCTGAGGCCGAAAGGGTATTCGGCTGAGCTTGAGGCCGAAGGGGTATTCGGCTAAGCTTGAGGCCGAAGGGGTGCTTGTGATTATTTGTTCTTGTCCACTTTAGAGTACTCTGGTATCTTTGACCGAGAAGGGGTATTCGGTCATGCTTGAGGCCGAAGGGGTATTCGTGATCATTTGTTGATGCTTTCTTGTTCAAAACCCTCGAATACCCTGGTGTTGCCTTGGCCATGACGAGGTATTCGACCAAGTTCCAAGCCGAAGGGGTAAGGTGTGTTCTTCATCGGTTTAGGTTCCCTTTTCGGCCTGGGATCAAGCTCGAAGGGGTGTTCACTAGTACACTCATGGTTTGGAAAACTACACTTAGAGTGAAAATATTGATGTGATCATACAAACAACACATATATTGCATTTATTGGGCACATATTTTTTATAAGTATACCCATATGTATACCACCCCTCCCCACAAAAAAAAAGGAGTAAACAAAAGGAAAAAGAAATAAACATCATGCTCACCCATATGAATCAATACTTTCTTGAAATGGAGTAGTAAATTTATTTGATCGAAAATAGGTAGGTGGCATCTCCCTAGTTTGCAAAACTTGGAAAATGGCACTGAGTTGGGAGTTAGAGTCAACTGGTGCCCGCTCCAATGTATCCTGGATCTGAAAAAACAACAATATTCCATGGAATCAATCATACAGTAATCACAATAAAGGAAAATATTAACTTTGTATTCATTGAAATGTCATATATTAGTATATTAATAATTGACACCACTATGATGTCAATCCGATAGACTAACAATCAATGAGAAGCTGAGAGTCATTCATAATGGAAATCAGGCATACAACGAACAAAATGTTCGGTAGAAAAAATATATAATAAATATAGCATTAAGAGAAGTATCGAGAATGCTTGTGGATTTAAGATAGCTTTGACAGTGTCTCAATATATGCAATTAGCAGTTTGGGAGAACAACATGAAATTATAAGTAAAATCATTCCACAAATCACAATCTGCTTCTCTTTCCTTCTACCAAGCACCTCCTTCTTGACCATGCAACAATTATTGATGCCAGTATTTTCCTTAAATCAATTGAACAAGGTTTTCACATGCCATAAGTCAAGGGACCCAAAACAAACACGTGCTAATAAATTGAGCTTGAAACAGAATTAGAAGGGAAGAAATGATGCGTGAGGCTCCCACCAAATGGGGTTTAGGGAGGATAGATGTGAACAGAGTTATCGCCACAAGCAAAGCATCTGCTTCCAGGATTTGACCCCGTGACCTCCAAGTCACAAGGCACTGAAGCCATCAACCTTAATGGTGCAACAAGGTTCAATCTCTACAAGATATATCTGATTGATACTCTTATAATATGATGTATTATAATATATTAGATACACACCACAAACACCTATTTATAGTAGTAGAAATTAATTAGGACATTAGTGTAGTACAACAAGACAATAGTCCAAGTCCGACCACATAAGGCTGCTGAATAACAAGACTCTTATCACGAGAATAACCCAATATTCTAACAAAATAGTTCACAACTGAAGTGGCTCAATCTGGTGAGTGAAGTAAAGCTTTCATAAATAATCGTTTAGCATTGATTAAAGATACCGATAAACATTATCTTAATTCATTTTTCCATTATAATTAAGGAAAAGACATAATTTCACTGTGTTTCTTCAGCTATTTTCTTTAACTATACATCTTGACTTGAGACTCCATAACAATCATTACATGCCTCTAAAAATGGACACTGCACTAAATCATTAAAGGAGCAGATAGATTATTGAAAGACATAGTTTGTGGTTACAGCAGAAAACAGACTGCACCTTTTGCAGAACAAGCTTATACTCCACTAGTTCACCGAAAGTGCGTTGCAACTTTTCACTGTTTGCATTGATCTGAGTTAACTCTGACTCAAGTTCAGTAAGTTTTACCAATTAAAACACAAATCTGAGGTTACTTGTACAATAAAATTTTCAAAACATGGAAAACAATATTATAAAAAAAAAAAACGTATTTATTTACCTCAAGGTCGTCAATGTTTACATCCGGCCGTGCTGAGGAACCTGTCGGTGAAACACTATTCTTCAACATTTACTCCTTGAAAATTCGCAATCTTCGACCCATCTCTCCACATCTTTTTATCTTCATAAGGATCAACAATGCTCACAATCAAAATATGCAGCAAAGAGCTCAATTCTAAATTTAAGATATGTGAAAGAAATGATGAATTCCAATGATAAAATTTGCACAATCCATTCCACCATCCAGGTAATATCTATGCCTCATGAGTACAGTCAAATGATAAGAGCTTTGCAACCGAAACTAAAGTCATCCTCCAATTTCAAAAGCCAAGAACAAGAAACCGAAAAAATGTTTGTATACAGTTGAGTTGGGTCAATTAGCTGGTAGGACATAGACGATGCTATTGCAAAATCATTTATCTTTCATTCATTTGTTATTAATCTTTAATACAAGCAGAGCAGCACGTGCATACACGATCGAGAAGCAAGCAAAAGTGCAAAAGTAGTAACTAGTAAGTAACAGCGTATAAAATTATAGACCTGAGTAGCATTGAGCTGAAAATAAGAGAGGGCAGAGCACATGAATTTGTTACTATAATTGAAGTAAGGCTAGGAAAGAGACTTGTTACTCGCATATAAAGAGGATGAAAAATCTGGAAAACATTTTCTGGAAGTGTGTTTCTTATATAATTCCGGAAAGTTTTTTCGGAACATTAAATTTAGTATTCTGGAAAATATTTTCCGGAATTATGTAACAAACACACTTCCAAAAAATACTTTCCAGAATAAAAAATTTACTATTCCTAAATATACTTTCTGGAACAAAAGCTTTATTATTCCGGAAAATACTTTCCGGAACAAATAGTGAGAAGAATTACTTGGAGGAAAAAATGCATAAGGTTTGACACCTTTCCCTTCGACACTGAAAAAGGAAGAGGATAATGCAGAAATTGAAAAGGGAAGAAGGGGAGGTATGGAGGTGCGGAGAAAAAAGTAAAGAAGAAGAAACGGAGTGCACAAAGAAGAAAGAAGAATGGTGAGAAGGGAGGTGTGAATCTGAAAAATTATAAGTTAAAAAATAATAAATTCCTAAATTATCCTCACCTCCCTTCTCACCGTTCTTTTTTTTTTATGCACCCCGTTTCTTCTTCTTTACTTTTTTCTCCGCACCTCCATATCTTCCCTTCTTCCCTTTTTATTTTCTGCATTATCCTCTTCCCTTTTTAGTTTTGTTATAAGTTGTAAGCGGGTTCAGTATCAAAGGGAAAGGTGTCAAACCATATGCATTTTTTCCTCTAAGTAATTCTTCTCACTATTTGTTATGAAAAGTGTTTTCCGGAATAATAAAGCTTTTGTTCCAGAAAGTATATTTAGGAATAGTAAATTTTTTATTCTGGAAAGTATTTTTCGGAAGTGTGCTTGTTACATAATTTTGGAAAATATTTTATGGAATATTAAATTTAATGTTCCGGAAAGAACTTTATGGAATTATATAAGAAACATACTTCCGGAAAATGCTTTCCGAAACAATAATTTTACTATTCTGAAGAATACTTTCCGAAATGCTAAAATTAATATTTCCATCAACATAATCATATTTAGTTAAAAAGATATTTTAGAAATTTTATTTTAAAAAAAGAGATTGGAAGTGTATTTATAAAAAATAGGAGGATCACCCTTTTTTCTTTCGTTGAGCATGTTTTGCTGTCAGGCTGGGCTATCATATAATTCGGCAATGATATATACATTTTTTTTATGAGTACACAATTTAAAAAAAAAAATCCTAAAATATCTTTAATCTTTTAATTTGTCTTTAAGTTTTATACCTGTAACGATCTAGTACTTTCTGACGGGGAAACAGCAACATAATAACAATACAGAGCAAATTCAAACAATTATCGTAGCGGAAATAAATTCCCTAAACTTGCAAGAATCTGAGGAGCAACAACCAATGAACAATAATAATAAATCACAAAAAATCACACACATAAACACCAAGATTTTTAACGTGGAAAACCCCTCAAAGTAAGGGTAAATATATATATATATATATATATATCTTAATCTATCATTTTTAAATATGTTATTAGTAACATGTAGAATTAAAACAAGATTTTGAAAAATTACTAAAACTAAAAATAATAATTTTAAATTTAAAGAATAAAAAATTAATATCCTAAATTTAAGAAAATAAAACTACATTTAAAAGAATAAAAATAAATTTAAATTTTAAAATAGTCGTTCGACATATTACTAAAAACAAATAAATAAATAATCACAATACAAAGAAAATATTCTATCTTAGTCATCTATTTATTTTAATAATTTATCTAACGATTATTATTATTATTATTATTATTATTATTTTCTTTCTCTATTTTTCTGTTCCTTTCTTTTCACTCACTCGTGCTTCAAAGACACTGCTTAGTGCTTACAAAGATCTTCATTTTCAGAGAAAGGATGAATGAGCATTATGTGTCCTGAATCTCAACTATATAGTAGTCGCACGTTAACAAACACGACTCTGCTTGATTCCATTTTAATTTTCTTACATGTCAAAGTGGAACGTATTTGAGTTTTTGCAGCAATCTCGTGTAAGTGGCAATGTCTCAGGCATTAAGAAACTCCATGCTCAGCTACTCAAAACAGGCATGCTCTTCCTCTCTCATCATCTCCACACCCAACTCATTGCGACATATGCGTCAACCCTCCCTAACCTTAACACCCTTCACTCACTAAACAATTTCTTCAAATGCATGAACTCCACCAACCCATTACACTTCAACGCCATAATATCTGATTTACGCCGCAAAGGTTTCCCCTTTCTCGCTCTAGCGTCCCTCTCCTTCATGCACACCAACGCTGTCCCCTTGGATACCTACTCTTTGTGCAGCACGTTGACCGCTTCCTCCAAAGTCAAAGATCTTGATTTTGGTAAGCAGATACACGCCCACGTGGCAAAATCAGGTTGGGCTTCTAGTGTCTTTCTGGGTAGTGCTCTCATTGATTTGTACTCCAAATTGTCGAATGTAAGAGATGCAACCCTTGTGTTCGATGAAATTCCTGAGAAGAACACTGTGTGTGCCAATGCACTTTTGAAGGGTTATGGCGAGGCCGGGCTGTGGGTTCAGAAACTTGAACTAGTTAGGAAGATGCACGTGTTGAAATTGAAGCATGATCACTTTACTCTATCAGCGGCTTTGCGTGCTTGCACTGGATTATCTGCTGTTGAAATGGGTAGGCAAGTGCATGGTTACTTGCTCCGTACGACACCTGATGTAGAGAGCGATGTGTTTCTCCAGAGCGCGTTGATTGAGATGTATGGCAAGTGTGGAATGGTGATAAAGGCTTGGCAAGTGTTCAAGTTGGTTGGGATGGAGATTAGAAAAGAAGTAAGAAGCAGAGATGTTGTGTTATGGACTTCAATGCTTGGTGTGTATGGTAGGAATGGGCATTCCAAGGAAGTGATTGATTTGTATAATGAGATGTTGGTTGAAGGAATCAGACCGGATGGAATAGCATTCCTGACAGTGATCTCAGCGTGTGGTCGCACTGGCCAAGTTCAAGAGGGTGTCAAGTATTTTGAGTCTATGGCTAATGAGTTCAAGTTAGATCCTGGTCCAGAACACTATAGCTGCCTAGTTGATTTACTATGTAGGGCTGGTGAATTGAAGAAGGCGTGGGAATTGCTGAATAAGACATTGAAAAAGGGAATGGGAAAGGGTAGTGTGTCAATGTGGGGGGCTCTACTGAGTGCTTGTGTGGATCGTGGGGATATAGAACTGGGGAAATTGGCAGCTGAGAGGGCTCTTGAGTTGGATCCTCAAAATGTTGGGATATGCATTATGCTGTCAAATCTGTATGCCCGTTTTGGTATGTGGGAGGAAATTGGACACTTGAGGGTATTGATCAATGCAAGTGGGCTAAGAAAAGATGTTGGATGCAGTTGGGTCCAGGTTACTAGTTGAATGTGTCTCAACTTTCAAGTGGGATGTGATCCTATATGATTGTTGCATCGTGTAATAAGGAGAGACAAAAACACAGAATTCAATTCAAGTATTTAAAATCTTGATGACGGGTTTTTGCTCCAAATTCTGAAGATGCGATTCATCACCAGTCACAACAAGAAAGTGATTTTGCTCTAAAATTATTAAAAACATGTTGATATAAATTATAAATTACATTTACAACCACGAACGTGATTTTGCAGGTTCCAAACATTGATCTCACCACACCGTTGCGTTGGTATATATTTGAATTATAAAAAAAAAAATTTAGAAGACTAAATTTACTATTCCAAAAAGAATTTTATGCAATTATGTAAAATAATACATTTCTGAAAAGTATTTTTTGAAATAGAAAAATTAATGTTCTAGAAAGTATTTTCTAAAAGTGTGTTATTTTATATAATTTTGAAAAGTTCTTTTTGGAACAGTAAATTTAGTATGCTGAAAAGTACTTTCTGAAAATATTTTAAAAATACAATTTTATTAAATATTTTCTAGAACATTAATTTCACAATTCCAAAAAATATTTTCTAGAACACTAAAATTATTTGATATGTTTTCTAGATATGCAAATAGGGAAAAGTGTTCGAAGAAAAAACACAAATTTGGCTCGATACCTACAACATGTCGAGGAAGTCAAATATGTCTATAACGTTGTTGAAAACTAATTATGCGTCTCAGGTGTGTGTGTGTGTAAAAATTAAAAGAGAAGGGAGAGAGAGTGATAATGTGAAAGTTGAAAGGAGAGAGGGGGAAAAGTAATGTGAAAATCAAAAAATTTAAAATTACTTACTGAAATAGATAAGGAGTGGGAGAAGATAAGAGATGCATACAGAAAAGAAGAAGAAAGTGTTGGGTATTGGGCTCTCTTCCTATGTGGAGAAAAGGCCCAAAATTGAGAAGTTCACTTGATGTCTCACTTAATTAAGTGGAGAGAGAGTCTGAAGCGAGTAAGAGAAAAAGAGGGAAAGTCAGAAGTCACTTAGAGCACAAGCACTTTGAGAGAGAGGAAGAGAGAAAGTCATTCTCGTTTTTACACAGAGCTGGGACAGTAAAATCAGTACTGCGAATTCGTTCACCGTTGGATCGGGCTAAAAATTGGACAGCAAGTTCGTGACATCCGATTCTTCATTCTGACCGGTTGGATCGTTGAAACAAGGTCTGAGTATGGAGATATTCAGTTTGCACTGTAGCTGTGTATTTGGAGTTTTTCATCTTCTTTGTTCTCTATTTGTAAGCTTTATTGCTTTGTTGTTTGACTGGGTGTTAGCACTATTCTGTGCAGTAGACTGAGACTCTTTTTGTACTCTTTGTTGATCATAGTAGAGCTATTTTTTTTGTCTGGACGACTCGTGATTTTTACCCTTACTTTGAGGGGTTTTCCACGTTAAAAATCTTGGTGTTTATGTGTGTGATTTTTTGTGATTTATTATTATTGTTCATTGGTTGTTGCTCCTCAGATTCTTGCAAGTTTAGGGAATTTATTTCCGCTACGATAATTGTTTGAATTTGCTCTGTATTGTTATTATGTTGCTGTTTCCCCGTCAGAAAGTACTAGATCGTTACAGGTATAAAACTTAAAGACAAATTAAAAGATTAAAGATATTTTAGGATTTTTTTTTTTAAATTGTGTACTCATAAAAAAAATGTATATATCATTGCCGAATTATATGATAGCCCAGCCTGACAGCAAAACATGCTCAACGAAAGAAAAAAGGGTGATCCTCCTATTTTTTATAAATACACTTCCAATCTCTTTTTTTAAAATAAAATTTCTAAAATATCTTTTTAACTAAATATGATTATGTTGATGGAAATATTAATTTTAGCATTTCGGAAAGTATTCTTCAGAATAGTAAAATTATTGTTTCGGAAAGCATTTTCCGGAAGTATGTTTCTTATATAATTCCATAAAGTTCTTTCCGGAACATTAAATTTAATATTCCATAAAATATTTTCCAAAATTATGTAACAAGCACACTTCCGAAAAATACTTTCCAGAATAAAAAATTTACTATTCCTAAATATACTTTCTGGAACAAAAGCTTTATTATTCCGGAAAATACTTTCCGGAACAAATAGTGAGAAGAATTACTTGGAGGAAAAAATGCATAAGGTTTGACACCTTTCCCTTCGACACTGAAAAAGGAAGAGGATAATGCAGAAATTGAAAAGGGAAGAAGGGGAGGTATGGAGGTGCGGAGAAAAAAGTAAAGAAGAAGAAACGGAGTGCACAAAGAAGAAAGAAGAATGGTGAGAAGGGAGGTGTGAATCTGAAAAATTATAAGTTAAAAAATAATAAATTCCTAAATTATCCTCACCTCCCTTCTCACCGTTCTTTTTTTTTTATGCACCCCGTTTCTTCTTCTTTACTTTTTTCTCCGCACCTCCATATCTTCCCTTCTTCCCTTTTTTTTTTCTCACCGTTCTTTTTTTTTTATGCACCCCGTTTCTTCTTCTTTACTTTTTTCTCCGCACCTCCATATCTTCCCTTCTTCCCTTTTTATTTTCTGCATTATCCTCTTCCCTTTTTAGTTTTGTTATATTAACCAAAAAATAGAAACTAACGTCTAATTGCTAACAAAATTCTATCACATTCAGAGAGCACCTTCAGCATTCAGTTAGCACTTGACACTAACGAACGGTGATCGAGAAAAGTTTCAATCAACTAAATAGTAGTGAGTGGATGAAAAGAAAAGTGTGATCGTGAAGAGTGAAGTAGTGATTTGAGCGGATTCGACGGGAATGATGAGGTGAACGAGTTGCATCGGCTACAAACGGAACAGATCCATCGCCGGATACCAACCACCGCGCGCAACCTCCGCCATTCTCACCACACCTTCTACTTCTCTCTATAACCTTCCACCGTTCCTTCTTTTTTTTCCCAATTACATGAAGGAGCAATTAATTAAGTAGGTACGCGGGAAAGAAAAACAATCTTCTCCTGGCTAATTTCTATTATTTGCAAAAAAATATTTACTCATTTTGTGGATGGCTAATATCTTCTTCTTATTTGATATAATAATAATAATAATAATAATAATAATAATAAATAAACAAGAATGATTACATTATATTAATTTTTCCATTTATCTCTGTATTCATGAAAATGTATTACTGTATTTTCTTTAAATGGGCCAAAATATTTTGTGTTTCTGTATTTGAATATGTAAATATGTTGCAAGTATTCATTTGTCATATATTTTTTTATGAACCCCATCATAATATTTTTAATATTTTTTAAAAAATATAATAAATATTTAATACTTTCTATATTTTAAAATACTACTACTTTTATTGTTTAATATCACAATCAAAGAATAAAAATCATAAAAGAAGAAAATAGTTATATTAAATGAATGTTAATTAAAATAGTTTTTTTTTATATTTTTTTATAAAATAAATGGAAAAATATATATTTTTTACTTTAGTAAGTGATTCTTTATCTGATCTCTTATCTTAAAAGTTTTTTTTTTAATTAAATTGTTCTTAATTCCTCTTTTTATCTATTTCTTTTCGCTGGATACAAACAAATATTAAATAATTAGATTTTGGAAAAAAAGGATCATACTTGTCTGAGTATAATAATGACCTAGCCTTTGATTATTGGTTAAATAAAATGCATAAGAATTAATATAAAATGAGATATTTATTTATTTAATAAGAATAAGAGAATAACGTGTAAGTAAAATAATTTCTAAATTAAAGAGAATAAAAAAATTAAATAAATTAATTAAGATAAAATAGAAAAAATTATAAATTTAATTATAAATTACTTTAATTAACTTATAAAATAAATTATAAATGTCTTTAAAAATTGATATATGAAAGAAATTTATTTTGATTTAACTAATTTTTAATTCAGTGAAATAAACTTATACGTTTCTTAGATATCTTAACAAAATACACTCTCAATATGATCGGAAAATTTTACAAGATTTCTAAATAGAATTGTTAGCTTAAAGAATTAGTCAAACATAAAGAACTTCACTATAACTCATCAGATGGTTCACTGACCACATTATAAATGATTAATTGATCCCAGAGCCTCAAATCATCATGATCTTTTACGTTGTCACCATGACACGCTTTTTTAGTTTAGGAAATTATGGTCACAAAGAATATATAAGAGAAAGAAGAAAAAATTAAACAACACAGTACAATGTAAACTTAACCAGATATGTGGGGCATATATTTTGAATATTTTTTTTTTGTCAAAGTACCATCTTTTTTAATTTTTGGTAGCAACATAGTATCATCGATTAAAACACAATTAGGTTTGCACTTCTCTGTGTGTCCATTGAGATGACCACATCACCTTTTATATAATATAAATATTTGTTGTGATTAGATCAGCACCTAGATGATGGTAGCTAATTATATTAAGTAAAGCATCAAACCATACTTTTCTTGGGTACATGCATCAAACTATAATTACTATTACTTTAGCATAATATTCCAGACAAGAATCGAGTGGGCTATATATGAAATGTGTGTGAATTCCGATCCCATGACAACCAGCTATGGATTAATTATAAATAAATAAAATTGGAATAATGATCCTTAAACATTATAATATCGACCATTGTTTGCATTAAACATCTAAAAAGAAATAATTAGAATATGTGTGATTTTTTTTGTTTTTTACTATCAAAATAAAGGCACTCTAAGAAAATGAGATTTTTAATATATATTATATGTGATTATAAACCCATACTTACTTTAAAGAAAGGGTGACTACATATTAAATGCAAAAAACAATTTTCTCTTAGAATTTTTTTTTCCATCCATTATTAAGAAATAGGATTTTGACTAACATAATACGAGGTTGACACGTAATCTTATTGTTTTAAATACATTGTCAAGAATTTGATCTCTAATTATGTTTATGAAAAAATATGTATTAAAATATATTATTTTCCTAAGAAGAGATTTTTTTATTCTAAAATTAAGTTACTTAGATTTACTTCATTCAATAATTTATGTTCTAAATCAAATTTCAATAATTTAATCATCGAATTTAAAGTTTTAATATGTAAATTAAGTCTAATTTTTTTTAAAAATTAAAAAATTATTTAATACTTCATTTTTATTAATTTAAATCAACGTATGAAATATTTTTATGATTATCCATCAAAATATATATATATATATATATATAATGTATTGTACTAATTTGGTAAAAATAGGCATTTGTCTTTTATTAATTTTAGGTACACAAAAGAATATGTTCATTAGGTTAGTTATATGTAAAAAAAATTATTAGGTGTTTAATAATATCAAGTTTATGACCTTAATCAATTACTATATGATATATATTTAAGTTTTTAATTTTTTTTAAAAAAATTAGTAACACCAAATTACATGTCATATAAAGATTAATTAAGAATTGTGTAATAATAATTTTTCATCACTACCAACCAATTATTATAGCAAGTCAGAATGCTTTAATTTTATGTGAAAGTTTGGTCACACATGTAATTTATCTGGTGCTTTACTACAAAAGAATAATTGTATGTACTAAATTCACAAGATGTCTTAACATTCATAATCTCTTTGGTACAAAACACTACACTAAAAAAATGAAGCCCTTTATAAATTGTTTTTGGTTATTGGGCATTGTCTTATCCTAACTCCTTTAGCTTCTTTACTACATGTATGCATTTGTTTGTCAATATATGTTAATTTCCCTAGGTTTTGTACCTATGTATTTCTAAAAAATATATGGATTTTTAAACTCACACTAATGTACACAAGGTAAAATATGATGAAATGAATAAAGATAGTGTTGATAGATTGTGTAATATATAACAGAAAATACAATATGATGAACCTTGTTTATATAGCAAGTAACAAAGTAATAATCATTAGTTAGAAGTAATTAACTCAACTAACTTTCAGTTATTTAACAACCTTTTAAACTTTGAATTATTTCTAACACTCCTCCTTAATTCAAAGTTGCATTTACACTTACAAATTCAATTTAGTCCTTTAACTATCTAAAACTTTCTAACTTCAAGGCTTTAGAAATTATATTTGCCAACTGAATTTTAATTCCATAGTACTCTAGTTTCAACTTCTCATTGCTGACTTGATCTCTTAGGAAAGGAAACCTTATTTCTATATGCTTGCTTTTTCATGAGATGTTGGATGTCTTGCTAAATGAATGGTAGATATGTTGTCCACCAACAACTTCACATTACTTCCATTATTCACTTGCAATTCTTTCATCAAGCCATCTAGCCATACTGCTTGACATGCAATTTTTGAGGCTACAATGTACTTTGCTTCACAAGAGTGCTACAATAGGTTCGTGGAGGACCAAGAGATTGATGCTCTTCCATAAAAAAAAGAAGAAGATATAGCCTGTTGTGTTTTTCTTGTCACACTTGTCTCTGCACCAATTCAAATTAGAGTATCTAACCAATTTGGAAATAAAGTTCCAACGTTCACTATCCCTTACACATATCTTAGTATCCTCTTTGTAGCTAACAAGTCAGACTGCTTTGGCTCTTACTTGAATTTATTGATTAGCCTAACATTGATGCTTAGATCAGACCTTATATTGCAAAAATATTTCAAGCATCCAACTATCTTTCTATAGTGAGTAGAATCAACCAATTTTTCATTTGTATCCTTCTCTAAGGCAAGTCCAACTTCAACTAATGTTCCTGTTAGATTATTGCTACATATTGACCTATTTAATAGATTCTTTGCATATTTAGATTGATGGATCACTATTCCATATTGAGTCAATTTGAACTCAATCCCCAAAAAATAAGAGATGAGCCCAAGGTTACTCATCTCAAGTTTGCTCATCATTTAACCTTTGAACTTGACAATTGCATCCTCATTACTACTAGTAATTAGGATATCATCAACATATAGACACATAATCAACTTCTTTGATTTCTCACTGCCTTTCCAACATTTCACATAAATTCCATGTTTTGAGATGCATTTCTCAAAACCAATTTGTGACAAAAAGCTATCAATTATCTTGTTCCAAGCTCTTGGAGTTTGTTTAAGGACATAGAGTGCCTTCTTGAGCCTATACACTTTTCTCTCTTTACTTTTGATCTCAAATCGATGTGGTTGATGTACATAGACCTCTTCCTCTAAAGGACCATTGAGGAAAGCAAACTTCATATCAAGTTGATGCACGGACCAATTAACATTGCACTACAAGAAAAATGTAAATTTTCGACGAACATAATCTGTCGGTAAAAAAGAATATCCATTGGAAAGAGAGAATTTCTAAAGAATGTAAATTCGTTGAAAGAAGGGGCGTCGGAAAAAAAATCCATCAAACAATTTAATTATCAACGAATATATCTGTCAGAAATTACCGACGGATATATCAATAAGAAATTACTGACAGATATTCTGTCAGAAATTTTGTGGCACGAATAGCGACCGAATTTACAACGTCTATAAAATTTGATAAAATAAAAAATAAATATCTAGCGATTAATTTAGCGACTAAACTGAAAATTGTTTTTATTTTATTTAAAAAATAAAAACATACTTAGCAACCAATTTAGTGACGTTCGATTCGATCACCAATTTGATCCCCATATACAACAACGACCAAAATGATAGTGATCATTTGACGATTGAAATGTTCGGTCGCTAAACAACGACCTATGATATTTTTGTCGTTATATAACTTTGTGACCAGTGTTTTTGCAACTATTTAAATTTGATTGTTAAGTCGATCGTTAAGGTAAATAGCAATCGATTTAAATAATTTAGCGACTGATTTGAATGGTTGCTAAATGCCTTTTTTGTAGTGAAAGAAAAAAAAATGTACATTCAACCAAACTTTTACACATAGTCTATTAGCTCAACATTTGGTTCGACATTTATTAATTTTAAAAAAAAATATAAGGCTAAATAATTTCAAATACTTTACAAAGTTAGACCAACATTTATTAAGTTTGTAACAAATTTTAAAATAATGAGACTCTTAATAAAAATAATTTATATAAAAGTTATGTTATACTTTTATTCAATACTACAAAACTTGATTTTAAAATTTATGTTAAATATATGTAATATTGTTTGTAATTATGTATTACATATGAATATTACGAATTTGATTAGGGTGTCATTAATTTTAATTTCTAAAGTGTGTTTAAAACCATAAATTTTTTAAATTATAAATTTAAATTTAATTCAATTTTATAAAATAATATATTCTATTATTTTGTTAACAATTTTTAATACTATATATATTATTTTTTCTATTATTTTTTTAATTGATTTTTAACACATTTTTTTATATATATCAAAAATTGAATATCTCAAATTTAAAGTTAAATTTACATGACTGAAAATTTATAACGGTATGATATCATTTTAAAATATAAATTTGAACATAATTTAATCTTGAATAAATATTACTTTTATTTATATATATTTTATTTTTTCATCTTATTAGCCGAGATTCATCTGAAATGACAATCATGACATGCACCCAACACACAAAATTTTGTGAAGTGTCCGCGCATCCGCCATTGGAACAAACAAAAAGAGTGTACCAAAGCTTCGAAAACTCCTCAGCAGCTAAACAGCACGTTGTGTCTTTTAGTCATATGTTATCATGCCATGTGGGCTTGTTCCTATCCAGAAACTTTGGGTTTGATGCAGCCTATTGACACGACATATATGACAAAATTTATTCATCTAAAAGATAAAGTTCAATACACAAATATTAGTACACAAATACAAATTTTTACATTATCATTTACCAATAAACTAAAAGTCATTTTAGTACAATTTTTATTATATTTTTTTTGGTAGCTACAATTTTTATCATATACCATCACGTATTTGTCATACATGAAGAGAAAAGGAGACTTATAACTAAAATTAAAGATCAGTTTTGCGGATAAAAATTAATGATTGTTCTGTTGTAAAAACATATATATATTCTTATTTTTTGTATAGTGAAAGTTACTTTCTCATGTAAATGTAGGCCGCATAGGTTAATCAATCAATAATATATATTTTTTATTTAAAGTCGAAAAGACGCATTCAAAATGAAAATTGACAATATTTTATTATAAAATTTTATTTTTAATTCCTTAATCACTAAAATGATAGGGAAAAAATAGAAAAAGAGACCAATGAAAATATAAGAAAAACATGAATTGAAAAAATATGATAAAGGAGAAAATAAGTAAATATTTTTATTAATAGAGAAAATAAGTGTATATTTAAATTTATTAATTAATTTTATAGAAAACTTGGAAACTTGTCCATGATATGCTTCAAGCTGGCAAAAGAGTAGACTTCAGAGTATAATAACGACAAAATGGACACGAAGTTCAGGAATTTGGGGGTCATTGGTGCTGGTGAAAAAATGGTTAAAGAAAAAGACTTTATTAAAAATAATTGGTTAATTCTTACTCAAATTAGTATTCACAAAGATAATGAATATTTCATATTAATAATATAATTTAAATAAATAAAAAAAGTGAATCACAGCAAAAGCAAGGCGACAAAACTGCAAAACTTATAGTTAGGGTGACCATCCACATGGTAAATTATCAAAACTATAAAGGGAATAACAATTGGAGTCATAGGTATTTCAACCAGAAAAGAACAAGCCCCCTCAGTCAAATTTGTTTAATTATTTTATTTTATTATCTAGGGTACGTATAGTTGCGTGTTTACTTGAAATGCTCCACAAAGCAAGTATTTCACATGACATCCATCAACACCGATATTCCATTCTATTATGCCTTGCATTGTCATCATGATCCAAAATGAAACTAATCAAGATCTTGGGTATGAGAAATATGGCATAAGAGGAAACGGATACGGTGGTGAAGTTAAAAGAGTCTCATCGTGACCAGAAGAGACCATAGTTGCACTTGCACCACTACTATCTCTAGTGTTGATTGAAGAATTATTCACAACACCAAGATTCTGCTGCTGACCAACAAGCCCCATCGAACTCTCACCCCTATTGTTATTATTATAGCTTTGGTCATCGGGGCCTTGATCATATAGTAATCCTCTAAATACATGTCCTCCAATGTTCACACATGTTTGATACGCTATTTCATTAACCGCATCATCCATAGAACGAACCTGAACGCACCGAAATATAGCCATCGAATTCGTAGCAGCCGGAAACTTCAACTCCAAACCTGAAATCAAGCTTGATATATGACAAAAAGAAAAGGAGTATACGTAACAATTAAGCTTGAGCATAAAAATACAAGTAGCTACTAGGCTTTTATATATCTAGTCTAGAAGTTTGATATATATATATCTGTCAATTGTCTGACTGAGAATGAGAGCATATAATTGAGAGCAAAAAAGCTGAAAAAACAATTACGTACTGTTCCTAGCTAGGGTTCTAGAGTACAGATCTTAACTTTGGTTTTATTATGTGCATAAATAGTAATTAATTAACCTGAACAAGGGTTGATCTGGTTGTGGTTTTGAGGAATATTATGTCCCTGAAAGTGATGTGGCTCCTTGTCCTTGTGGCGTCTCTTATCCGCAGGAGTCCAAGTGCTCTTGATATGTGTTTGGCACTGAAAGCCTTTGTTCTTGCAGCAAGTTCTGCACCTTGAGTATGAACATTCCTTCTTCGCTTGGTTTCCACAGTCTTGGCACTTTGAACCTCTTAATACTACCTCTTCTTCTTCTTCACCTTGCGTCGCCCTTCTCATTTCCTTTGTGGCACTGCTTCTAGACTATACCTACTCCTCCTAGTGATTGATGGGTCTAATTAAAAGAAAGCAACAATCTTCTTCTCTTTGTTAAAGAAATGGTTACCAAATATTGTTTATATTATCGTGCACTTCGCTCGAGTTCTAAAATACAAGTACAACATGGCAAAGTCGCTCACCGTATGGCAGGAGAATCTATTCTAGGTCCAAGTAAAATCCACGTCACTATGAACCACTGGGCAAAAATACCACAACTAAAAAAACAGTAATAAAAAAGAAAACGTGTTAGAATAAGGTAAAGGTTACAACAAAATGTAGGTATGAAATAGCTTTATTAATTAGTCTATGTGATTATGAATCTTCAACAATTCAGATGTCTTTGGTTTGAATATCAGAAACTAACAATTATTGTATGATGCAGATATAAAGTTAGCTGTCTAAAGTGCTTTTTTTGTATTTGTCTACAGAAATACTAGTAATATATCTTTTGATGCTAATTTTTATTTGGTTAAATTTCATGTTTGTCTCATCAAATAACATGGACTCACTATTAATTAATTTGTTAATGTTCTTTTTTTTGTTGCTCATAATGTCACACAGAGTCTAGCATATTCTTTTGTCCAGGCAAAATGGATGTCTTTTGTGTCTCTTTTTATATTTGGAGCCTTAAGATTATTGTTAAATTGTTAAAAGAATTTTTTACGATTATAATTTTAGTGTTTTGCATCTGCATAACTATTTATGGCCATTGCCAAATCTAATTATTATTATGAAAATTCATCAATACGTTCAAGTTCTAATCGACATTTAGAATTAGAGAAAGGGAGATAAATATAAGTAATTATATATGTAGGATGATATGGTGTGATACAAATATTTAAAAAAAATACTGCCTTTTAGAGCATTAGAGCCAAAAAAAACCAAATATTCAGAGTCGCTAGCTCCAAAATTTTATTTATATAGCATATCTAGCAACTATGGGTAGGCAGATAGTTTTTTAATTATGCATATGCCCCATATAACATATGCTGCACACCTATTAATTACTAAAAATAGTAAAAATCTTAAGGTTATCACCCATAGTATAATGATACTGGCTTTTTAACGTTGAATTAGCTAGCTTATGATAATATTTTAATTTTTTTTTTCATAACAAAAAATAATTTTAGTTAAAAAATAAATTGCTGGTATAAAATTAAAATTTATTATGGCAGAACTAATATTGTCTATATATGCTATTGGATTAATTTCCTTATTAACGAAAACAATTCTAATGCTCATATCACTGTTTTGTTGTCGACTTAATTATTCCCCCACTTTTGTAGTGTAGCGAAACTCAAATGTAGCTTTCGAACTCATGTTTTGGCTGGAAGAATTGTAGCATGTGGGGGTATCTTAAACCAGTGGGAACGAAGAAATTAAAGTGCGGCAATTTTAATTTTATATCTGGCCAAATTTTATGCCTTTGTCCCCATTTTCCATGGGATCTTTATTTTATTGTTTTTCCAGGTGAATAATTACTTTTTGAGAGCAAAAAAGAAAAGTAAGCCCAACAGTGAAGTTGACATTCTATATAGATCGTCATTTATTGTATGTATATGCGTGAAGCAACCCATAACTTAATAAGTTCTTTCAACTTTTGAATGTGGAATATGTAGTAAACTGTGAGATCACTCACACATGCTTGGAACTTGAAATAATATCCCACATTTTAGTTCTTGTAGAAACTGAATCAGCCGCTCATGTATGTATGAAATTTCATGGGGATCAATTCATCTGATCAAATATTGTTTTGGTCGACTCGAGGCCAAATTCATAATCATGGTATATGGAGTTACCAAGAGATTATTTTCTTCCCAGGAATTTTATTCTTACTCGTTTTTTACAATTAGGTGAAAAAGAAAAAAAAACAAAAAAGGAGATAAAATAAATAATATAATAAAAAACGGAGCAATAATATTTGAATGTTTCATAATTTTTAACATTTCATCAACACCTGACATTTTTATTTATTTATATCTATATTTTTTCTTTCTCTCATTAACATAGTTTTTGGTTAAAAAAAAAAAAAGAGAAGAATTTTATTGTTTGGTTCAATTCTTGGAAGGAGAGCAAAACTCTCGTGATCTAATTTTAACTCCTCTTCAATATTAGAGAAATTTAGAGGGGAGAAATTTTAAAATATTTTTAATAAAGTATTTAAATTTATCTTTATTTATGTTATTAAATTTATAATTATAAAAGTACAAATGTAAATTAGTTTTTAAAATTGTCTCATCTCCTCTTCTCATGAACCCAAAAAAAAAAGTTATCCTCACTCTTATTGAATTCCATCCCTCCTCCTATCTAATATTGTTTATGGTTTTAATTATAAGTAGGTTAAAAACTTATAGTTTCACTTATATTACCTTTTAATTAGTTCCTATAATCTAAAATAATCATTTTTAGTTTTTATATTTATATTTTTTAATATTTGTTTGTCCCTATAGTTTAAGATAGATATTTTTAATCCTTATATTTATAGTTTTTTTTTAATTATTTTAATTTTTATTATTAATTTTTTTTATAATTGTACTGTTCAGGCCATCATACCACCAACCCAATAGTGAGTCGAACATTTGGTGACTCACGTTATGTATGTCTCAACATTCGAATGACATTCTACTACATGTGTTGTATGTCTTGACATTTGAAGGACACTATGTGACATGTGTTGTGAAGATGTCGTATCCAATTGTAGATCAATAGTTTTATAATTAGTGACGTGTCTTAGTATCACTCCATTACATGAACTATGAAGACGTTGTAATTTGTGGGATTGTATGGTATTAATGATATATATATTGGATAATGGTCATAAATGCTTGGATTAGTGAAACCATTTAAGAATAATAAGGGTATAATGTCACCTATGGATATGGGAGCAAGAGATAAGAGATTTTAATCACAAGCATGAACTAGATATATACAAGGAGACTCCTAAGCTTGAAAGCTAGATTACAATCACTTAATGTTATGAATTGAGATAGTAGTTGGAATCCTCCAACAACCGTCCCACATATCAGAACAGTAACATTGTCTCTTTCATGTTAATGTATAGAGATATTCAATTTTGTGAGGATAAAAAAATGTCTCAACAATGGATGTCGCAAATGAGAGTATAAAAGAGACACAAAATATCGAGAAATCTAATTTAGAATAACTTCATTAAAATAAAATCGACATCAAACACATAAAATTGAATTAATATCTCATTCATGCCAAAACAAAAGAGACAACGGTACAAAAAAAATAATAGAGACTAAAATGATTAAAAAAATTATATATATATA